TGTTTTGTTATTAGTTTAAGTATTTGCTATTGACTGTTCAAATGCGGAGTTTTGCGCATCGTGTGTGTGTGCGCGAGCGAGAGAGTGAGAGAGAGAAGGGGGGGGTGGGGGGTCACATTACAGTAGAGTCAGCTGTCTTAACCGTGGCTTGTGTACTGCAAACACATACCAGCTTCATCACTGTGTCTGTCACGCGACTCTGTTCCCCTCTCGGGCTTGAACTGATGGTAAAACTAATGACATTATTTACTGTCTTTACATTTATTTTGAAAGCTGAAGATGCAATTATGGTAAGGGGCGTTACATTTCCGACGAGTGCTTACGGTGTTCGGCCAATCACAATGCACTGGGTCAGCTGGCCAATCAGAGCAGACTGCGCTTGTCGGAAGGAGGGACTTTGTAGAAAACGAAGCGTTTGAGAGAGGCGGGGCATAGAGGACCTACAATAATGTACAGTATTTGAAAAATAATGTGTTTTTTGAACATTAAAGCATGTCAGCATATTCTGTTACACCAAATACACCAAATAATGATCTTTAAAAAAAGCATCATATGACCCCTTTAAGAATTTTTTAGACAGATTTGACTGAAACGCTCAGGTGTCGGTCCGAAAATGGTTTTTCTCATTAGTATGGAATGCGAGTTTTATTGCAGGATTTGTGCAGATTTGGTTTTACGGTCTCCTCTACACCACTGCTTGCGTAAACACCTATATAGTTTATAATCAAGGTTATTTCTTGCCGTGACATGATTTTAGCTCCACAGGATGACTTTTATTAGTGCATGAAGACCATTTGTATTAAAAAATGATGCAAATTCAAAGTAATTCTCACTTACACGATCTATCTGTTCATCTTTTCCCATAATACAGGATCTTAAACCCAGTAACTTGGCTGTAAATGAAGACTGTGAACTTAAGGTGAGAGCAAGCTTGCACTGATTGCCAAGATCTCTGCCATCATCATCTGATGCTTTTTCCACTGTCACATCTGTTATAATTATCTTCTGTTGACCAACAGTGGGTTTATAGTCGGGCAAACAGTGAGGCACGCAGTGTAATATGAGCGCTGATAAGTGTAGTTTATGGCTAATGCTTACTCTGATATCTGTGCTCAGATTCTGGACTTTGGACTGGCCCGGCTGACTGATGATGAAATGACGGGATACGTTGCCACCCGATGGTACCGTGCCCCAGAGATCATGCTCAACTGGATGCACTACAACATGACAGGTCAGGATTAGCCAGAATCCTCACTTGTGTGTTGAGTTAAACCGCTTTTGTTTTATATTCAGTTTTTACATTTTTTATATTTGAAGACAACATGAAACCGCATTCTCAACTCACTTAACTTGCTAAAAAAAGAATATTCAGCTGGAAATAATGTAGGATGAGATTTAATATTATTCATGAGGATATGATTGAATATTTAAAAATGGGGCAGTGTTATTGGTTAGTATTATTTTTTCCAGCTCATACAGTCTTAGTCACATTAGCAAAAATGCTTATACTTTATACCACAATATTGTATAATTATTATTTTTTTTTTTGGTTTTAATTTCTATTTATTGGGTAAATTCTTATTGTTAACTGTCTTGATTCTGATTGGCTGATACACATTTATACATTTTCTTGCACAGCTGTGAATTTCTTCTGTTTGTAGATCGTATCACAGACGCATATCACCTTCTTTTTGACTAGTTAATAGTTTAAGTTTGGGTTAATGTGTTCTGTTTGGGGTGAAAACTTGAAATTGTTAAATAAATAATTAGATATGCAACTTTGTAATAACTTTGTGAAGCTTGTGGAAAAAAGAAATGTTGCCTTGGAAGTTCTAATATTACTAAAACGGAAATATAAACAAATTAAAGCTATAATGTAGAAATGAAATGAAAAATAAAAAAGAACAGCAAAATATTAAAACAAACAAATTAAAATGAAAATACTAAAATAATAGCTATAAATACTATGTCATATGAATTATAGTATATGAATAGTTGAAAATAAATGCACATTGCAGCTGATTCACCTTAAATTTGCATATTTTTTTAATAATGCAATGTTCCATTGTCCATTATTCCCCACTTGTTGTTTCCCTACTTTTTTTAAACAACGTGCGCTGATTAATTTTACAGAGTAAGACTAAGGGCATTTAAAGGAATAGTTCACCCAAAAATGAATCGTTCCAACCCTGTATGGAAAAGTTGAACACAAAAGGAGATATTTTGACGAACACAACAGTTGTTGGCCCCCATTGACTTCCATAGTGAAAGAAATACTCTGAACGTCAATGGGCACGATCCACTTGTTTGATTACCCTCATTCTTCAAAATATCTACTTTTGTGTTCAACTTAAGAAAGAAACTCATACAGGTTTAGAACAACATGAGGATGAGTAAATTATAATTATAGGGAAGTCGTGGCCAAATGGTTAGAGAGTCAGACTCATAACCCAAAGGTTGTGGGTTCGAGTCTCATACCGGCAGGGATTGGTAGGTGACCAAATACTTATTTTACCGAGGAATTTACCAATTAATTCTTTAAAAATCCTACAATGTGATTTTCTGGATTTTTTTTCCTCATTTTGTCTCTCATAGTTGAGGTATACCTATGATGAAAATTACAGGCCTCTCTCATCTTTTTAAGTGGGAGAACTTGCACAATTGGTGGCTGACTAAATACTTTTTTGCCCCACTGTACATGTACTTACTATATGATTAGTGTTAGGATGAGGTTTTGGTTTAGGGTTAATTGCATGTAATTATGCATAATTTATTGTTATTATAATAGTAAGTATATGTAACATGGTGTAACAAGGACACCTTAAAATAAAGTGTTACCGACTCATTGCATTCTAAACTGCCTATAGTCGGTGATGCCACCAGAAGTGTTCAAGTGGCCATATTACTCTTCCCTAACAGCAGAGGGCATCATTGACTGACAGGGATATAACCTTGACCTTAAAGGGAGAGTTCACCCAAAAATGAAAATTCTGTCATTAATTATTCACCCTCATGTCGTTCCAAACCCGTAAGACCTTCGTTCATCTTCGGAACACAAATTAAGATATGTTCGATGAAATCTGAGAGCATTCTGATCCTCCCATAGACAGCAAGGATCCTAACACGATCAAGGCACAGAAACGTAGCAAGGAGATGATTAAAATAATCCATGTGACATCAGGGGTTTAACCGTAATTTTATGAAGCTACGAGAATACTTTTTTTGCACAAAGAAAACAAAAATAACAACGTTGTTCAAGAATTCGTCTCCTCCGCATCACCCTAACGCGCCATTTTGGAGAGTATCACATATATATATATAAACAACGTATGCTGTTCTGCGTCAGCAGCACCGTACGCAGATACGCCGTTTACGTCGTTTACACTTTGATCTGAACATTGTTTACGTATGTGATACTCTCCAATGTGATCCATCGTGTTAGGATCCTTGCTGTCTATGGAGGGTCAGAGAGCTCTCAGATTCCTTCAGAAATATCTTAATTTGTGTTCCGAAGGCACACAAATTACAGCATATATTCGACACACGCATACAGCATATATTCTGAAAATATTTACATGTGTATATATTTGTTCATATAAATTATATCATATACAAACATATTTAATATATAAACGTAAGATATATTTTTTTAAATATATACATGCATGTGTGTGTATTTATATATACATAATAAATATACACCGTACACACACATATATTATGTAAACAAAAACTTTTATTTTGGATGCGATTAATCGTGATGAATTGTTTGACAGTACTAGTCATGAGCAATCCAGCTATAAATCAGAGTTTAAAACTCTATTTCTGTTTTGAGTTATTGGTGGCACATTCACAAATGCACAGTGTGTTTCCACAAGAGAATTAGTAGAGCTGAGGGAAAGCTTTTCAGCAAATAACAATTTAAACTTCACTCTTTCTCACACAAGCTATCATATGATTTTAGAAGACTTGGGATATAGCAAATCATATGGATCTTTTTTTGGTTGTCATTTTTGGAGCCTGACAGTCCCTGTGTCCATTTACTTTCATTGTAAAGAAATGAGCAGCTTATACGTTCTCCAAAAAATCTCCTTTTGTGTTGCATGAAATCCATACAAGTTTGGAACAGCATGAGAGTGAGTAAATGATAATTTTTGGCTACACTATGCCTTTAAATCCACAAAAAATATTTTAAAGTGCGCAAAGTATACTTTGATGCACTAAATCTTGCATGTAATGGCTGAGTGTTGAGTTGCTGCATTTAAGCATGTTTCTGACTGCATGAATGAACTACCCCAATCTGTCATGTACTTGCTTGCAAACACTTTTCAGTCAACTTTTGACTCATCTTTTTTTGATGATTGTTTGTGATTTTTACTAACATCCGCCTTTGCCAGATTTGAGCAGAAGTCAGTGTGGTCCTGCACATGAGTGTAGAACTAGGCCACTTTGCTGTAGCTCACACCTGCCTGTCACATTCACTTGTTAAACATATTCACACGTTTTCACTGCCTGCATTTACAGGCATAAGAATATTCCTATATAAATCAGAATTTGGTCGTATTCTGATTATGCTAGCGGACATGTTTCGATAATGTAAGAATATCACATTTTTGTAAACTTAATATAAATGCATTAACCGTAATGAGGTTAAGCCTATATTTTGGTTTCTAGAAATCTGCATGAATTCATTACAATTTTGGATCATGTAAACATTTTTATTTTTGGAATATCCTCCAAATCTGAACATAATATTTCGCTTTTATGTGTTATGTCTCGAGGAAAGGTAATTATTGGTGATATTACTGTAGGGTTCGGAAAAATTAATTGTTCATATGATGTGTAAATCTCAATTTCAAAAAATTTACCCTTATGACTGGTTTTGTGGTCCAGGGTCACATATGGATTAATTTTGCACAAAATAATTTAGGCTAAGATCTTTCTTAATCTCAGTGGAGCGCTGCAGCGATGACACATTTTTGTAGGCCAATCCTGAAGTTTCCCTCGACAAAAACCCAATAGGATTTTTCCATTGGCTTTTGGATTATTGCTGAAAATAAGCTTTGTGACCAACAATAGTTTATTATTGTTACACGTTTTGTTCGTAATCTTCACAAATGAACTCAACTTTCATGAATTTTGAAGCTTAAATACAATCGGTAGAAGTAAAAATCTAAATGAACTTCACCACAATTGCATGACTTCAACATCACCACCATTAAACACTTTCAGTCTTTATTTGAAAAACATTTGCTCTGAAAGTTTTAGTCCATTAGTAAAAAAGTGTACTAAAATATTGTTCAATTAGTTTTTGGTAAAGTGACAGTATATAAGCTCTAAAAAAAATATAATTTTTTTTAAATAGTTTTACAAAAACATGTTTTCATAATGTCACAATATTTTCCTCACACAGTATAAATTGCTCTTTTATATATGAACCTATTTAGCTGCGAATGTAGTTTTTTGAGGCCCTGTCCTGCGTTATCTGTTTTAGCTGTGGACCTGCTGGAGAAGATGCTGGTTCTGGACACAGATAAACGGATTACTGCGTCACAGGCTCTTGCGCACCCGTACTTCTCCCAGTACCACGACCCGGACGACGAGCCCGAGGCAGAGCCCTACGACCAGAGCTTCGAGAGCCGCGAACTGGACATCGAAGAGTGGAAACGTAAGCCTGCACTGTTTAGATCTCGCAGACAAATGATATTTTACTGACCGACCTCTCTTCGATGCAACAGTTGCGCTTGTTGTCAGCACTTTTAACAGTCAGTGTGTGTCCGCAGGGCTCACGTATGAAGAGGTGATCAGCTTCGAGCCTCCCGACGGAGACGAGATGGAGTCATGAAGGCTGCTCCACCTCCAGGACCTTCACCCATACATGAAAATGACATTCAAGTGCCTGCCATCATCAAGTGCTGGCTTCCCCGTGTTCTGAGTCTGCTTATCCATGCCTTCATACACGCTCTGTCAAATAAGCAGAAAAGAAAACATGCAAACTTTTAAAAAAAGGACACAGAGAATGTAAGGTTTTGTGTCCTGTGCCCCAGTAAGTTCAAGCCCACATATTGTCATCATTTACTTGCCTCATGTTTTTCTGAACCTGTATGAGGTTCTTTCATCTGTTGAACACAAAAGAAGATATTTTGAAGAATGTTGGTAACCAAACAGTTGCTGGTAGCGAAGTCAATGGCTACCAGCAACTGTTTGGTCACTCATACACGATTGGACCAACTTGAGGGTGAGAAAATGACAACATTTTCATTTTTGGGTGAACTATCCCTTTAACTACTCTTTTGGACAGAACCCTTGAAATTAGAGATAAATGTGTGTGTATATATAAAAAGCAATCAGTCAAATTCAAAACAGCATTTTAAGCTCAGACCAACTTGAGGGTGAGAAAATGACAACATTTTCATTTTTGGGTGAACTATCCCTTTAACTACTCTTTTGGACAGAACCCTTGAAATTAGAGATAAATGTGTGTATATATAAAAAGCAATCAGTCAAATTCAAAACAGCATTTTAAGCTCAAAGTTTAATATTCTTTCTCTGGGGAAGCAAAACATTTACCTCCGGACTCCACTTGTAGCCTACACGATAAATAGAGGGTAGAAAAAACTCAAGTACTGTCAGAATACTAAGTTTTTAGATATGTAAATAAAATGGCACTGCTGTACATAAATGATAACAATGTGCACCAACAGTTTTGTGAACGAGCTAAAGAGTGAATCCTGTCACCTAAAGAGGATGTAATTATTATTTAGTGCTCTGTGTAGAATGTAAACAGAAGAGTATATATAGACGCAGTGTTCTTCTGCCAACTGCATCTCTGTCTGTCTCGGACAATAATAGATGACACAAACAGTAATGCTGTTTACATGAATGAATGCAGATATGCTTGTTCTGAAAATGTATTGGGCAATATTTAGAAAAAAAACATGTGGTGGTCAGTGCTAAAGTGAGAATGTAAAATGACTCACAACTTTTACAACTTTTTTTACATATAATATATTATGGGCGAATCTCACGAAACCTCGTCAGAACATGGCCAGCCAGATCACGATGAACTACAAAATCAGAAGAAAAAATTTAAAATATGTTTTAAATATTTTTGCATAGTCAATAATTCTGTTTCTATTATTTGAGAATCAATAATTATGTTTTTATATTATTATTTATATATTAACGATTTGTTCACATAATGCTCATAATGCAATAAAAAAATCAAGTCAAAATCTAAAGGTTTCTAAAGATATGCTTCCTTTTTTTTTTTTACTATCTGTAAAAATATTTTAGTTTTATTTTTGAATTTGTGGTGAAATGTGGTTTGGACATGTTTTTGACTGGTTTTTGTATGATTTACCCTTGTTATCTGCCTGATTTTCTGCCAGTTCTTCAAACGCTCGCCGTTCCCTTCACTCCGTGTTAAAGGGCAACTGATGCTTTAGCTACACCAGAGCATAGTTTCTCCCCTCATTAATGTATTGTTTATGTAAATTGAGAGAAATTGGTTTACAATAGGGATCGAGTTGATCAACAGAACAACTCCAGGAGCGAAACTGTTGCATTATGGTCCACAATAAAATAGTTCCCGTTTATTTTCGCTTGCCCTGGGAAAGACGTTCGGCCAGAAAGTTCATGTTTGCAAAAGTGAAAGAACCTGAGCCAATATTCTGCTTTTCCGTTGAGCACGATGATGTTAATTTAACATCTCGTCAGGAATGTGTTTTCTCAAAGCAGAGCCGGCCGGCATCTAACTTATTGTATCAGTTGTTTAAGATTATTTTTAACGTCCCTGTTGTAAACCAGCATAAAAACCAGCAAAGGACCAGCATAAAAACCAGCAAAGGACCAGCATAAAAACCAGCAAAGGACCAGCATAAAAACCAGCAAAGGACCAGCATCAACCAGCAAAGGACCATATTAAACCAGCATCCCAGCGTCAAAACATACCTAACCAGCATATGCTGGTTTTTTCAACAGGGGTGTTTTCCTTTTCACTGTATATTATCACTTAATTTTATTCCGCAATATTTTCTGTGTTGAGCATGTATTGTTATATGTTGATGGGGTGTGTTGGTTTGTTTGTATGCACATTTACCATTTTCTGACGAGTGGAAAATCACTAAACGCGTCAATCAGGGGTGCATGGAGCTGTAAAATCTATTAAACGTGGTTTATACTTCATTTTGTCGCATGGAATCCGTTTTTCATGGAAAAGAGCTTATTGTATGACCTTTTTGTGCATATAACCAGTTTTTCTTCAGTCACACACAAGTTATGTGGTCTGTGAACAACCACTGCTGTACAGGAGTAAGGGCAATTCTTTTTCACAACACCCATTGTTTGGTATTTCTTTTGTGCAAAAATAGTAAATTGTTTTCTGTTCTTATCTAATTAAAATGTAAAGTTGCGTCAGTGCACACAATTTTTTTTTTTTTGAAGAAATTTACTGCCACCAAGTGGTAATTACTCATAATACACATTCAAAATGTGAAGTGTGAAATAGTTTGTTACATAATATGTAGGCTATTGCAGAGTACCGCAACCCACACCGTAATTCTTAATATATGAGGCATCTTTTATAAAATCACCTCTGGTGACACCAAAAGCTCAGTAAACTCATCAATGGAGTAAAATAATGCGATAGACCTGTTAAAAATGTATGAAGAGGAGCATACAAGAAAAAAGGCTACAATTAACTGAACACATTTTGACAGTTTGTGACAACATGCCCCAACAGCATAGCGCGCATTTTGGGATTGCATTGTGTACGTTCTTATAGGAAACTACACTGATTGACAATGATTTGAGAAAAATGCCTGAATTATGAAATACTGTTAAACACACACACCCACAACATACAGTATCTGCATTTAACCATCTGGTGCTATACTTGTTCAAAAATGACCTTTTTTTCCACATTGAAATCAATGTATTATATTTTAGTTCGATAATGTATTTCTATTTTTTAGGTGATTTATGGTAGTAAATTACATTTATGGAATAGTTATGATCCATTTATTGCCTGTTAACCACATAGACCTGACAATGAAATATTCAACCTAAACTGTTGGAAATATTGAATGCTTTGGAGCACATGACTTCAGTTTGGTCTTTGAAAAAAACATACTTGGCAGATAATTGCTGAAGTAAAAAAAAGGCAAAAAAATGATTAAGAAGTTATTATAAAAATGTGCAAGATACTATTTTTGTTCAATTTGACATTAAATATTTTACAAAATATGTTTTACTCTAAAACTGCGAGAAAATCAAAGGCATACATTTAAAGTTGTGTTCCAAATTTGAGGTTGATATCTTCTAAAATGACCTGTGTGCGTGTGTGTGTTAACAGTGCCAAAAGCATTACCAAGTTTCGTAGCATTCCGATCAAATTCTTAAAAAAAGAAAGAAAAAAAAGAATGACCGAACAGCACCAGAGGGTTAATATGTATTGATGTATTTAAAACATATTTATACACTCAGTCTCTTGTCTACTCTGAATGGTCCCTTGTTCCCCCAACAACTATTAAACCAGCCTTGACTCAAAACCTTGTGACAACTTCTCTCTGCTGGACTCCTGTAAGTACATGTGATGTGGGTGTGACACACTGTAGCTCTGTTCAGTTCAGTTGTTGTTGGGGAAGTTTTGTGCGCATGCGCGGACCGTTACATGTGAGTTCATCTGAGCATTTAGCCGCCGGTGCAGCAGCATGGAGAGGAAAGGTGAGCATCAAAACGAGCTAACTACGGTTCCCCACAACAATCTGTTGCAATAGCGTACATATACATATAAGTAAACATAGCATCCAGTCTGAATCATATCTGTGTTGTGAATTTAAGCGCTGTGAGGTTTCCCAGTGTGTGCGTATAGAGACAAAAGCCCATGTGTGTTTAGCTGCTGCTGCTAACCTAACAATACTGCGACTTTACAGCAGCATCTGTTTATCAGCAACGCGGGAAATTGTTGCTTGTGTATGAGCCTTTTTTAGCGTGCCTCTGATTGTAATCGCGGTTTGTTGTAGTAATTATATTCATGTTTTCTTGCAGCCCCGTTATCCAGTGTGTGCGTATAGAGACAAAAGCCCATGTGTGTTTAGCTGCTGCTGCTAACCTAACAATACTGCGACTTTACAGCAGCATCTGTTTATATTGCACTGTTTATCAGCAACGCGGGAAATTGTTGCTTGTGTATGAGCCTTTTTTAGCGTGCCTCTGATTGTAATCGCGGTTTGTTGTAGTAGTTATATTCATGTTTTCTTGCAGCCCCGTTCCTGTGAGCTTTTGCTAGCTGAACTTTCTCTTGTTTTCGTTCGACTTTAAGAATTACGATATGTTTATCATAAATGTGTTTGTTTTATTCTACTTTCGCTGTTGTTTGTGTGTCAACAAAATGCTATCAGCATAAACTGATAAAGCCGCCAAAATCTATTTTAAGGGGGTCTGAATACTTTCCGTACCCACTGTATATATATTGTTGTTGAATTGTGTGGATGAGAGTTGTAGCTCGCTTATTGAACATTCTTAAATATATAGCCTATAAAGTCACCTATGGTATTGGTTGAATTAGGTTAAAATAAAATCATCATTATTTCTAGTTTGTGTAGATGGAGTACTTGAGTCTTACGGATGGATCTGAGCTTGTATAAGACGAAAAAAAAGTTGGAAAACGTGGTAATATACTACTTAGAGTCTGTCCTTTTGCATCCAGCTTCCCTCTGGAGTCAAGGCTAATTTGTGTATCAGTGCAGGATGGTTTTATTAGTGTATGACTGGCTCAGAATGTGATAATGCAGAATTGGAACTTTTAGTGTTTTATTTTGATTAAAAGGTTAATTCACCCGAAAATAAAATTCTGTCATTGTTTACTCACCCTCATGTCGTTCCAAACTTGTATGACGTTCATACTTCTGAAGAACCTAAATTAAGATATTTCATTTTTTTGTTGTTGTTGATTTACAGCGACAGTCAGTGGGGGGTCAGTGATGTTTAGGGTGAACTACCTGTGGGTAATGCAGGTTTGAGTCTGGCAGGCAAACTATGTTATTCTCATTCTCCCTACTTTTGGCTAGGGATGTAACGATTCACTCAACTCACGATTCGAGATTTTGATTTCAGGATTCGATTTTTTTTATTTTATTTTTTTTTTTACAAAATGAGATTTAAGACAAAT